AAACAGTCAGTGGGGCTGCTGCAGAGCAGAGACAAAAAGACTACCCAGGAGCCTGACGGATGGCCAGAGCACTCGGGGAGGAAAGCAGGTAGCCGCCAGGATGGCAGCTTCTCGGATGGGGAGAGCTGGGCTGCACCTTCCCTCCCTGGTCATCCAGACAGCTAAGGTTACCTCCTCCTCCCAACGTGCTGTGGCCTATACCTCATTTTCCTCACTTACATTTGCTTTGGTCTCTTCTGAACACTGAGGTGGTGAGCGAACTTGCCCCAAGGTTAAAGATACACAATTAAAGATCCCACCAAAGCTTTCAGACTGCTCTCTGGGCCTCAGGGTCACAACAACCATCATTCGGTGCACATCCACACCAAAATGAGCAACATGAACTCCTGCTAGCGAGGACAAAGGAGGCACAATTCTCCTAAACCAGATACAAATCTCCCTCTATGTCAGGAAACAATTCCTAAAACAAGAAAGGAGCCGCATTCCTGAAATGTAGACCCTCTAAAACATTTTAAGCCATCTCAATTAACATTTAAGTGAAAAAAACGTTTTCAAATGAAAACCAGTCTCCTATTCAACCAATACCTATCATGTTAATCTGAATCAAAACATGTAACACAAATAAAATGAGTGCAAAAACCAGAACACCAAAGCCTATGACTGGCAAGCCAAACACTCCAGTTTCACCTAGCTGAACAAAGTACAAAAGTAAACAGCAAAACTGATGACAAATGGAAAATACCATGTTTTACCATGTTTATAACCAATACTGTTACTCACCCAACTACAACAGGGCTTACACCTGTTAGTTTTTCGCAATGGCATTCCTTTAGGATAGTCCCAATAAGCTGACTCAGCTAACTTAGGGACTTCTGGAAATCAAAGATAGATAAAAGAGCCCCACATTAAGCCTCCAAATAGGCCATGGCCTAAAACTGTTTCTGCCTCCTATATACTCAAGGGGTGTGACACACTCTCATAAAAACAGAAGTGTACCATGCAGAGTCTTGAGTACTGAAAGTTCCTACTGGCTGTGGTGGCTCACACCTGTAATCACAGCACTTTAGAAGGCCGAGGTGGAAGTATCACTTGAATTCAGGAGTTTGAAACCAGCCTGGGCAACACAGTGAGACCCCATCATAATAAAAATAAATAAACAGAAAATTAGCCAGGCATGATGGGGTATACCCATAGTCCCAGCTACTTGGTAGGCTAAGATGGGAGGATTGCTTGAGCCCAGGAGGTTGAGGCTGAAGGTTGAGGCTGCACTGAGCTGTGATCACACCACTGCACTCCAGCCTGAGCAACGGAGCAAGACTCTGTCTCAAAAAAAAAAAAACATAGAAAAGGGAGCTGGTCTGGAGAGGAGCCTGGATGGTTCTCATTCATGAGCCCAGCCCTACTCCCAGGAGGCATGCAGACCTTACTCATACAGAATCAGGCCGGGGGTGGTGGCTCACGCCTGTAATCCCAGCACTTTGGGAGGCCGAGGTGGGTGGATCACCCGAGGTGGGGAGTTCGAGACCAGCCTGACCAACATGGAGAAACCCCGTCTCCACTAAAAATACAAAATTAGCTGGGCATGGTGGTGTATGCCTATAATCCCGGCTACTCGGAAAGCTGAGGCAAGAGAATTGCTTGAGGCAGAGGTTGCGGTGAGCCGAGATGGTGCCATGGCACTCTAGCAGTGGACAACAAGAGCGAAACTCCATCTCAAAAAAAAAAAAAAGAATCAAAGAATCTCTGTCAAATGGACAGCCATCAGCCATTTTGAGAGAGCACTAAGGAAGGCTGATCTAAGGTGTATACCTTATTCTGGTCCTTTTGCTGTCTCTTCTGGCAGTTCATTCTCATCCCAAATCTCAACCTTTCCTGCTTCCATTTAAACTTCTTTCTTTTTTGTCCCTATTAAAATCAAGAGCAAGTTGTTATCATACTCCTTGGAATAACTACTCCTCAAATGATGAATTTATTCAGTCTGGAAAAGAAATCAGTCACCAAAACTATATTCAATTTATTTTCTAAGTTCTATTTTTGTGCCTCTAATGATTTTTGGTCTAATTCCTGAGCTTTTCCAATTTCTCCACTTCCCTTGTTGACCAGAAGACCTAAACAGCACAGAGACTCTAATAAGAACCTGACCTATGTTGACCTCAATGGAAGGATGCTATTCTATCTAGGACTGACAACTTCTCCAATCCATCTTCCTGGCTTTCGCTGAATCCCATCAGGATCCTGCTACCTGCAAACCTTAAAAAAGCTCTCCCATAAAAAAGGGAGATTTTAAATTGCTATAACAGGTTTCAACCTGCCGTCCCTTTCCTGAAGGTGGTCTTTCCTGAAGGTGGTCTGATGGGTAGTCCAACACAGATGTCTGGCCCCAAACTCACCTTCCCAACTGTTGATCACAGCATTGTAGAGGTTTAATGAAGTCAAGACGCATTACATTTATCACTTGCCCTAGACCCACTCAAATCCATCACTATGTCACAGCAAGAAGTTAGATTGATCTGACAGGATTTGCTCTTCTTCACAAACCCATGTAAGTTATTACTCAGTGCCCCACGCTCTTCTAGCTGTTTGCTGATTGATTATCTGACGATCAGGTCAAGTATCTTCTCTGGAATCACAGTAAACTAACGGGTCTATAATTTCCAAGATCATTCGTATTCTCCTTTTAAAGATAAGCAAGACAGAAAATGCTTCTTCCCGAGTTCTCTAAAGCAACAGCTAATGCTTTGCTAATAATGAACCAGGGCAGCCAATTCCTTAAGTGCCCTTGGAATCACATCATCAGGGTTCATTGATTCTGGAGATAATCTTTAATCAGACCCAGATCCTGGTAAACAATGTGAAGCCCTAACTCAGCCTGGGTCTGGAAGGTCTTGGTGCCTAAGTCTGGGAAGGAAGTTGGTGACACAAGCTGTTTAAATCTGTACTGCATGATGTCTTCAGCATTGTGATAAATAAATAAATAAGTAAAAATAAAGCCCTTGAAAGAGAGATGAAAGGAGACATTGACAGACCAAACTGAGACATGATTCAGGCTTCACCTTCAGGAATATTGGCAGGACCCTCTGCAGGACAAGAAAACAGAGCTACATAATTATCTGAGCTTATAATCTAACCGATAAGGTAAGAAAATACACATATATAAGCATATGCCAGAAAGCAGTAAATGCCATAACAGAGGTGCCAAGCGATTATGAGGGATCAGAAGAGGGATGAATCCTATGTGACAGAGAAGTGTTAGATTTTAGTCTCATGTCCCACTAGGGCTTACCCAGTGACTGAAGTAGAAGAAATAATATGACATATTAAGATTTGGATCCCTGATTCCCAATGTGGGAGAATCCACAAAACCAAAATTCCCAACGTACCACCCAGCTGCCCCCCCACCACACCAGAGAAACTCCAGTAGCTTGGGGAGGCAGGGAAGAAGACTCTACAGTACAGGCAGGAGCAAGAGGCAGAAAGTAAGCGTGGCTTGAGTAGCTCCCAAGCTGCACTCCCTTTCACCCAAAGGACCTTCCTTTAGGATATTCTCCTTATCCAGCTCCTGTGTTCCCAGCCCTCAACAGAACTCACTCCAATGCCCCAAAGGCAGACCAATGCATTAAGGGAGTATAGAAAAGAGGAGAGGAGAAAGGGAAAACTAAAGAGGTTGTCATATCTGCTTTATGTAAAATAATCTACCATTCTATCCCTTCCTGAAAAAACCAACCATGACAAATGAACCCAGTTTATCTTTGAATGGACCACACTCCTCCCTACCTTCCAAGTGCCCAATGCTGAGGTCCCCTTCTCTCCCTCCTCCTTACGACTGAAAGTTGTTCCCAGAGCAATATGTCTATGCATCCCCAAATCACAGTCTATAACCTAACCCTGTAGAGAAGAGTTACAGTCCTAGAGCTAGGCATATTCAATGCACCAACACTACAATGAACTACTACATCAGCCCCCAATCATTCCCTCAAAGCAAACACCACATACTTCAATATCACCTGCAGCTAATCCAAGCCTCCTAGTAGCATTAACTTAAAAGCTAAAAGGTCTTTGAACACAGCTGGTGGCTAATGAAAAAAAGCAAGGAAAGAAATTGTCCTTTCCAACAGACCAACAATGGTACTTACTCAGGTTATCTAATGCTGCATAACAAATCATCCCAAAACTTGGGGCTTAAAACGTCAATAATCATTTGTTATCCCTCACAGTTCCTGTGAGTCAGGAATTTGACAATGGCTCAGCTGGCTGGTCTGGCTCAAAGTCTCTCCTAAGGTTGAAGTCACATGTCCACTGGGGCTGCAGTCATCTGAAGGCCTGACCAGGGCTGGTAGATTCACTTCTAAGAGAGCTCATTCTCATGACTGGCAAGTTGGGCACTGGATTTTGGCTAAGAGCCTCAGTTCCTACATACATGTGCCTCTCCACAGGGCTGCTTGAGTGTCCTGGCAGCATGACAGCTGGCTTCCCCCAGAGCAAGTGGTCCAAAAGAGCAAAGTGGACTGCAATACTTTTTATAACTTACCCTCAGAAGTCATACATTATCTTTTCCACTGTATTCTATTAGCTCTACAGGGATATCTTTGATTCAGTGCAGGAGGGGAACTACCAAGGGTGTGAATAGCAGGAGTTAAGGATCACTGAGGTCATCTTGGAGGCTAGCTACTATAGGATTCCTTAAAGGAACAAGTGGCAGTAGCAGGAGAATGGAGGAAAGAAGAGAACAGAGAAAGGAAGGACGGGAGAGAAGGAAGTATGTTGATTCCCAAAAGCTGAGACCAGAGAAAAACAATGTACCCAGTTCTCTCCAGAGACTTCTCAGGTCTACCTTACACTAGCATACCTGAAACAAGTCCTGCTTCCTAGACAGGAACTCTAAATGAGTAGCTAAAAGACAGGAAGGCATGAGAAAGCTCCTTTCGGTCCCAGAAAGCAAAACTATCCTCCCTCCCTCCTTGCCCACCCCACCTTTTCTAAAGCAATGATGGAACAGTTACCTGAGGATGAATCTGTGGCTTGTCGCACGTGGCCTCAAAGTCCAGCACTAAAAAGTAGTGATACCTCTGGGGAGGGAAGGACACCATTGCCGCCATGGATGCGCCAAAGCCGTGGGCCGCCAGCTTTCTGGTGGATATGGAGCAGAACTCCGGAACACCACAGGGAGAAAATAAGTGGGAGCCCAGCACTTTTCTTGCTCTTGAAAGTAAATACGAAGAAAATCGAGCTGCTCCAGTCTGTAAAGGTGCTAGCATTGAACATCCAGAAGCATCTAAAACTTAGGGGAGGAAAGTTTAAAAAAAAAAGAAAGAAAAAAAAGAAAAAAAAAAAAGAACAGAGAGCCTGGGTTACTCCCTCCCACTGTGGCCCTGTTCCATCTAGTCTTCAGGAATATCCACGCAACATGGGCCACTCCCCAGTGTTTCTGGGCCCCTTTTCTAAATCATAGTATTCGTTACCGAAGTTCAAGACCCTAATAGCAGCACCTGCAGCATTATTACAGCTCTGAGTCTCCCAGATCATTCTCAAAACAACATGCAACACGGGCCTTCATCTTTAAATGGAGCTCTAAAGTTCAAAAGAGAGAAAAGAGAAAAATTGTGCAGTCACTTCTCAGGTGGCAACAGTTAACATTAAAGCTATGGGCCCAAAGTAACATGAGGTGACCCTGTTGTACAATCAGTCCTGGAAGCTAAGTAGACTCAGACAAGCAGCAGAAAATGTCCAAGGCTCTTTTCTCAGCTCCACTAGGAGCCATTTGCCCCTGGCTTTCCAGTCTGTGTCTTGATGTCTCCACATACCCTCCTCCCCCTCCCAAGGTGAAGGCAAACAAAGCAAATCACAGGGGAGTTTGCTCCCAGCATTCTGGTGATCCCCCAGCCCCCACACTTGTAAGTGGCACCCGGGGGGAATGAACAGTGCCTGGAGAGCACAGCTGGCAACAGCCTTAGGCCTTCTCATTTGCTGCCTTAGACTCAGTCTCTACTAGAGGCCCTGAATGACTGCGGGACTTTTTAAATAGGGAAGAAAAAGAAAACCCAGATGTGGCAGTAATAGGAGCACGGCTAAAAGTCTAGTAAAGTTTTCTGAGTTACATGTGCAAAAAAAAAAAGGAGTCACTTTTCCTTTAAGTTTTCCCCTTAAATTTGCAGAATGCCTGCTCCTCAGAGGCCTAACCAAATATAAAAATCAAAGCCTAAGTTTTACTCATGAATAACTCAAACTTCCTTAAAAAGAAAGAAGGAACAAAGCAGAAATGTTGTCTTTCTCCCTTTAATACCCAACATTCAAATTTCTCTCAACTTTAATCCTCAAATAAGAAATCTCACTGTACAATACAGTAATGGCCATAGTTTGTGCTTTCTGAAGCCCCATTCCAACACAGCCAAAGGCTTGCCTCTGATGGCTGCAAGTGGGCACCTGGCTCCCTTCACACAGGGTAGAGGGGATAGCACCCTGTGAAGTCCAGTACATACTCAAAGGCAATTAGGTCACTACCTAAACAGAAGCAGATAATGCCAAGTATGGCTGTCTTCCCATCTCTCTCCTGACTCACTGAATGAGCTACAGTAACTTGCCTATATATTTACTAGGATATACGCTAGCATAGCTCCTCGATTTCCCTATCCCTATAATGAGATTTCAGGGGGATTCAGTGGAGCTAAGACCAAAAAATATTTTAAGTTCTTTGTGGATCCTGCACAAGCACAGCACTTGTTTTCACCACTGCTTTATAGCCTCACCAAAAATACAGCCAAAACTCAGCCCCAGTAGACAAACGCCAGCTTGAGTTTCACTATGGAGTTTCCTGGAAAGGCAAGAGGGCCAATATCCTTTGGAAAGCCAGAATCTTCTCATCACCTATTCCTGAACCGTACTGGAAGCCTTGATGAGATAGGAGACACCGGTCTGCTCAAATTACCCATTCTAGTTTGGATTCAAAGTGCCTCAAGGACTTAGACTCTTCTCTAACCTGATAAAAAAGTGTAAAGACTTCCAAAAGTCTTAATGTTCCACAATGTGCATAGAATATGCATTGTATGTACAGTCAGTCAGATCCTATCTACCAAATACTATAAGCAATTAAGCATGATGAGCAAGGAGGGCTTCCAAGTTTGAATCCTGGCTTTACCACTTACTACCCATGGCACCTTGGGCATGCTGTGTTCCTCAATTCCTCATCTGTAAAATGACAATAACTATAGCACCTACTCCTTAAGTGAGAATACCATGAGACAACACATGCAAAGCACTAAGAGCAGTGTCTGGCATATAAGGGCTTAATACATATTAGCCTAATGTTATTACTACTATCCTATTGGGCTATGCCTAACTGGCCAAGCCTGGATCCCCCAGATTCTGGGCCTACAAATCCAATTAATTCATAAGCCAGCCTCAGAGAGTAGTATCGATGTCTTCTGCAACCCTAAAATGCTCTAGACCTCTGACAGAGCATACTATACATACCCTATTCTGATGGCCAGTGGTTCTCTTGCCTGCAGGCCTTGCTTTTTCACCTGATTTCATCTACATCAAAAAGCTTCTTTTGGTCAAGCACAGTGACTGACACCTGTAATCCCAGCACTGTGGGAGGCTGAGGCAGAAGTATCGCTTGAGCCCAGGAGTTTGAAATCAGCCTGGGAAACACAGTGAGACCCCATCTCTACAAAAAAGAAATTAAAAATTAGCCAGGTGGGGTGGAGAATGCCTGTAGTCCCAGCTACTTGGCAGGCTGAAGTAGGAGGATCGCTTGAGCCCAGGAGGTTGAGGCTGCAGTGAGCTGTGATGACGCCACTGCACTCCAGTCTGGGTGACAGAGCAAGACCACACCTCAAAAACAAAACAAAACAAAAAAGCTTCTCTTGTAGGAAGTCTTGAGAGTAGACATTAGGAGGTCAGGCCTCCACATATCAGCAGTTACTGGATTCCACACTTCCCTTACTTCTAACAACCAAGTTCAGTTCAAGTCAAGAAACAGAGGGTAGCTCTTCCTCTTCCCTTCCTGAAAAACTCAATCCTAAAGCCATTAGGTGCAGCAGAAGAGGGCAGATATCTGTAACAGGTGGAGTAGGGTGAGCCAGAGAGGTCTGGGGGACACTGTCAGAGCCCAGGCAGGGTGAGGAAGACATCCTTGCAGAGGTGGGAAGGTGTGGTACAGCATGTCAGAACCAAGGGGGTGTGGAGAGCATCCATGTGGGCTGGCAGTCTGATGTGGGGTGACATAGGCAGGGTAAAAGAGGCACTCATGAGGGGTAAAGGGCAGTGGCAGTAACAGGAGATTAGCTACCTACAGAGGAACTGATCAAGGAAGTGCATATATTAAGGATAATGGGACCCGAGTTTCTCACTGTTACAGAAAGGACTTAAAATATGGAAAGGGAGAAAATCTGTGGTGTTGCATTGGAATTGGCAGGAAGAATGTGAACTCATGGTTTTTGATTAGATGTATATCAGATAGACAGATGGATACACACACACAAATATACATACATATGCATATATATTTCTGTTTAAGGAAGAGCCAGGGAGCAGTAACAATGGCAATGAGCACACCTAGCACTCCATTGCCTTCTAGTTTTTTTTTAAGATAGGGTCTTGCTCTGTTGTCCAGGCTGCAGTGCAGTTGCACAATCACAGCTCACTGTAGCCTTGAACTCCCAGGCTCAGGCAATCTTCCCACCTCAGCCTCCCAAGTAGCTTGGACCACAGGCACATGCCACCACATCCAGCTAATACTTTTATTTTTTTGTAGAGATGAGAGTCTCACTATGTTGCCCAGGCTGGTCTCAAACTCCTGGGCTCAAGTGTTCTTCCCACCTTGGCATCCCAAAGTGCTGGGATTACAGGCATGAGCCACAGCACCCAGCCCCAGTTGCCTTCTAAATACCATTCTCCACTAAAAGAAACAGAGGTCCTTGAAGAAATGGCTGATTCCAGGGATGCAGCAAGAGAAATACAAGATAAGCCCATAACATCTTATACCACAAAGCAAGGAAACACCCAAAGAATGATGGGAACATACCAAAAGGATACAGAAGCCACCTACTGGCCAAGAAACAATGATAGTAATGGATTATAATGCACTGAATAGAAAACCATGAGTCCATAAAGATATAAATCAATAAATTAAACTTTGATGTGAGATATTTACATAGTTTCAAAGTATCTCCCCAAGAAATACTTATTAATTACAACAAGGAGTAATTTTATGATGGAGAAGCCTGGCAGACATCACCTTAATCAAGTGATCAAAGCGAACATTATCAATAATGGGATAAATCAAAATCATGTAACGAAAAGAACAAAGCATCATTTCTGATACATTCCTGAAGATATACAACCTAAATCTAATCATGAGAAAATGTCATACAAACCCTAATTGAGAGACAATCTAAACAATAACCAACCTACAATCTTCAAAAGTATCAAGGTCATGAATGCCAAGGAACGTTTACTGAGGAAAGTCTAAAGGAGACTAAAGAGACTTGATAACCAAATGCAACCCACAATTCTGAACTGGATCATTTTGCTGCAAAGAACATTCCTAGGACAACTGGCAAAACTTTAATGGGGTCCGAGGATTATATAGAGGTTTTGTATCAATGTTAATTTCCTGATTTTGATGGTTGTATTGTGACTAGGTAGGAAAATGTCCTTGTCTATAGGAAATGCACACCAAGTATTCAGGGTGATGGGGTATTAGGTCGGCAATTTAACCCTCAAATGGTTCAGGGAAAAAATTCCTTCTACTGTACTTACAACTTCTAAGTAAATTTGGGCTGTTTCAAATTGTTTTTCAAAATTGCTTTTTAAAATCAGCTGGGTGGGGTGGGGTGGCTCACACCTGTAATCCCAGCAGTCTGGGAGGCCAAGGCAGGCAGATCGCTTGAGGTCAGGAGTTCAAGACCAGCCTGGGCAACATGGCAAAACCCCATCTCTCCTAAAATTACAAAAATTAGCCAGGCATGGTAGCACACGCCTGTAATCCAGCTACTCAGGAGGCTGAGGCAGGAGAATCGCTTGAACTCAGGAGGCAGAGTTTGCAGTGAGCTGAGATCACATCACTACACTCCAGCCTGGGTGACAGAGACTCTGTCTCAATAAATAAATTAATTAAATTGTTTTTTTTAAATCCATGTGCAATGTAGTTAAAATTTTTAAATTAAAAATATCACACAGACAGCATTTGAAGGGAGAGATCTCCCTGTAATGCCCACAGAAGGTGGGCTGCATGTTCTCTCTGGCAGAGAGACTCAAAGCATCTCTCAGCCCAAACAGTATCTCTATCCAGCCGACTTTCCATTAGAAGAGCACCCACTCAATGCCCACCTCACTGGCACTCCTGCTACCATAGAGCCTTCTCAGGAAACACCCCTGCTCCCTGCAGCAGCATCCCACCTGCCCTCGCACCCTCTGGTGTCTTAGGGATTTCTCCTTCCTATTGATGTCTTTATGTTTTAGTCACAAATTTGCAGGCTATAAGTCTATAGCTTATAAAATCAACTGGGACTTTTAGTATCTAACTGAGGACCAAAACTCAAAAGAAAGTTTATGATTCTGCCTATTTCTGCAAACTATCTTTCATCAGAGACTAAGATTTATACACATTTATTCTCAGACATCCTTTTCCCTCTCCTAGCAAATTAAAGGTATTAAGTAGCCCATGGCAAGGAGGAAAATGAATGATTCTCTCCTCAATATGAAGGGCCCAGGTCCCCAGTGGGGACAGGGGAGGGGTAAATGGGACTGCCACGGGGCCAGCCCAATTTGGAGAAACAGGCCTGCGCCAGACCCCCTGGAGGATGGTCTCTGTGCAGAGTATTTACACAACAGACACCAATGGCTCCTCTGCAGCCATTACTGTCTATCAGGTAAATAACACATGTGCCAAAACACACATTTAATGAGGGAAATAATATGCCTTTATAAAAAGAATCAATCTGTATTTACCTGAGAGACCAAAGAAGCACCAAATCACCAGATTAGAGGAACCACAGAGGAGTCGTTCTGGTGTCTTGGGTAAATAGACATTTTATAGCCTCCATTACTGGAGGGGTGAGTGGAGGGGGTCGACCTTTAACATCCACACACACAGGCCAAGGGAGTCCTCAGGATGGGAAAACAAGAGGAGCCCATTGTGAAACACGTGGTCTACTCCCACTCCCACCTCCCCAGCCATGTGTACTTGGGATTTCTGGGAGGGTGTATGTTTATACCATCCCTGGATTTAATTCATTCCATTAGAAGCCAGACTAAGAGGCAGGGATACATTTGAGTAACTCCAAGTTACCAGCAACAGGTTCTGAGTCCAGCTGACTGGAAGCACCTAGGAATACAACAATCACAGCTTCCTCAGTTCTCAGTCCTGGTGTAAGCCCCCGACCCAATCTGACCTGCAGTATCACAAGTGCTCAGGCACCTGAGTCACAGAAACAACAATAAAAAACACAGTAATACCTGTCTGGAACTCACTTAGTCACAGGCTTTGTCTCAAGCAGCTAAAAATAGCCTGGGAAAAATACAAATAAACTGCATGCCTTCAAAAGTCATAATCTTCCATCTAATGAATATATCCTTACTGCCAGAGCACTCTCTGTGTAAAAAACAAACTGTCAGAGGTGAAAGAAAACCTAAGAGGCAACACAGTCCAACCAGCCAGGAAAAATGAGATTAGAAAGAGAAAAGGACTGCCCAAGCTTCACATTGCAAGAAATAGTAAGAATAGAACCTAGGCTCTCGACTCCAAGGCCAGGATCTCAGGCTGGGATCCAAAACAAGGAAAAGGCCTCACTAGTCATTTCCCAAGCTGTGCAGTCTCATAGAAGACGCCAGGAGCCTAAGGACTCTGTCTAGTTTGCTGAAGGCTAGAGGTTGAAGACAAAACAAAGCTTGACACGCCCTGGAACCTCCACGTGGTCCCAAAGCAGAAAGGAAGCAGGAACTCTAAAACTGGGTCCTCACCTCAACAAAACAGTCTCCTCTTCTCTACATCCAGTCCCTGCCTTGGCCTGTAGCTACAGCTGCGTCTGCTCCAAGGCATGGCTAGGGAGAGCTCCCCCAACTCAGAAGCAGCTGCTAATAATCCCAAACTACCAGCAGAGCTAAAATCACTAAAGGCCTTCAAGAACACCAAATTCTGATGGCAACATCACAGGTCACAGCAGGCTTGCTCTCCCCTTCAACTGGTCTGTTTCAGAGGCTCCAAGAAACACATAAAAAGAGGCAATTGTTTGTGATTTGCCTGTTGTTTGCTAAACCATCAGCCATGCCCAGTAGCTTGGGCAAACTCCTTTCAGCCGCCAAAGCTGGAAGACATCTTTTTGCAAAGTCCTGCAAGTCTGTTGCAACCCCATCACACATGAGAAGGGGCAAAGCCTTGCTTCCTAACACACCATAAATGGACTAGAGATGGATGGAGGGCAGGTATAGTAGCATCAACCTTTTAAGCACCTCTCACACTTGTAGACAGCATCTGACCCCAGAAGAGAGGTACCTAGAACTGTTAAATACTTCCTGTACTCTCGGTCCCAAGATGGGGAACTGGTGTAAAAGCAAGGAGTTATATAATCTAGTGTTAAAACACTGGTAATAGACAAACCTAGGTTCAAATCCTGACTCTACTATAAATTATTTGTGGTAATAGCTATAATAATAATACCTGTGTCTTTGGGTTTCAGTTTAACCATACAATGTACAAAAAGTGCTTTGCACAGTAGCAAGTGCTCAGTAAAAGGGAGCTGTTACTACCTGAGAAAGAGAAAAGGGAAACACCCTTTTCTGAAAATCTACTCAAGCCAGGCACTGTATTGATGATTTACATATTTTATCTCATTTAATCCTCCCAGTATCAAGCAGAATGGGTAACAGTATTCTCATATTACACATGAGGAAACTAAGGGATCGGAGTGCTCAGCTCTTTGGGGTCCTGTTCTCTACCACGACCTACATTTCCCCACATGATTGATTCCCCCCATCCAACAGAGAGCCAACAATGCATATCAACTGCAGTTTTTCTTTTGAGGCAAAGTGTAACTTTAACTAAAAGTAACTCAACCTTAAGCAATAATTAAGTCTATCTAAATCATCCTAACTTGTTTTCTTTTTTTTTTTTTTATATTTTAAAAAGAAAAATTGCAGACCTGAGCACAAAAGCAGAATTAAAACAACGGCAGCACAAGGAACTCGAAGCCTCTTCTCAAACAAAATTCCAGAGGAACAAATCTTTCCATCTTACAGAGTGGAAAACTGGCAGGAGGCAGGGTTATAATCAATTCTTACTCAAGTACCCAAATGTAACGTTTCCTTTTACAAATCTGTGCTTTGGCAAACGCTGCTCCCTATTTTGGAATGCACTTCCATTTTTTGCCAGACAAATTATGACTGCTTCTACAAAATCCAGCTCAAATCTCCCCCCTTTTGGTGGCTTTCTCTGACACTCCATCATAAAGCTAATTGCTTAAGTATGATCCAGTGGCACAGTTTATTCCTACTTCATAACTTTTATCTCACTATGTTGTAAGGTATTAGGTATGTTTCTTCTACTACCAGTAATTTTTAAGGAGTTAAGGGAGAAGGATAGAAGACAGCAGTACAGGTATATGTGTGCATGCGCATGTAAAAAAAAAAAAAAAAAAAAAGCATATTTGACATAATTCTTTGACTTATCAGACTAATGCATTTTAAAATTTCAAATAGCATTAAAGAAGAGCATAAGATTGTTTTGTTTTGTGTGTGTGTGTGTGTGTGTTTTAATCTAAACTGTGTTACGTCTAAACACAGTTTTTAAAGCCTGAGAAACACTGAGCTAGATCCCTAAGCGTAAGGACCACATTTTATTCATTTCTGTATTCCTAGCACCCAGCACAGGACCAGGCACAAAGTAAGCAAGAGTAAATGTTTGCTAAATGAATTAATATGCCCACAGTCAAGATGCCAACTGCTCTGGAATTAGAACATGCTAATTAGAACAGAGCAGGGCCTAAGCACCAAACAAAGCTTCTTCTCTTCCTTTCTTTATCCTTCCTCCTAGCCCACCCCATTCTGTCCTCCCTAGTTAAAAAGAGCGAAAGAAAGAGCGAGAGAGAGAGCGAGAGAGAGAAAGAGCCAGAGAGAGAGAGAGAGAGAGAGAGAGAGAGAATTGCCTTGGTGCCAGAATACCATTAAAAGGATTAATTTAGGGACCGGTGTTTGGACTGTCACATCCAATCACTACCCACAGATCTACAGCTTCCCAAATCAGGCTCATGCAAAGAGGCATCAATTGCAAGGACACAGAGGGTCTGAACAGGCATACTAATGGCCTCCTGAGGTGCCAGCGGCCAGCTCTGACACTCCCATAAATTATCCGCCTTTTGATTTTACCTGTAGCTGTGGGGCACAAGGCACAATTTTGAACACATCAAAGCAATCCCTAGTAACCCAAAGCTCCTCAAGGAATGCCCCCAAAGAGGAAAGGCTAAAAACAATGACCCAAAGGGAATCTGCTTCCCAACAGTTCTGGTTCTAGCAATCACTAATTAAAACCCAACAGAACCAAATGGATAACGTAGGACCCAAATCAAGCCTAGTAGATCTGGACAAGGCATGCATCAGATTGCAGTTCTGGAATGACTATGCACCTCTCACTCAAGGAAAGCAAAATCATAGCAATAAACTAACACACTTTCATCTGGATGGCAAATCTGCCCTAGCTTTGACAGTACCTCACAGCAGGACCTCAGGCAACTCATTTAACCTTTCTGGGCCTCAGTTTCTTCATACGGTATCAAGGACAAGAATGCTGACCACCTGACCCACTTCCCAGAGTGCTGGTAAAAAGTAATTTTAAAAAATTTGAGAGGCACTCTACAAAGATGTAAGGCCACAGGGTGGCAACACTAATAAATGACCCCAGACAGACAGGGAGGAATGCTGGTCACACTTTGGTGAATTTCTATCGGGAAGCTGCTCACTCAATTTGCTTTACTGATGGTGCTGGAACTAAGGTCCACACGGAAAAAAGTTCTGGGATTGCTTGGTGTTTTTTTTTTTGTCTTGAGTCTCACTCTGTCACCCAGACTGGAGTGCAGTAGCTCGATCTCGGCTCACTGCAACCTCCACCTCCCAGGTTCAAGCAATTCTCCTGCCTCAGCCTCCTGAATAGCTGGGTCTACAGATGTGTGTCACCATGCCTGGCTAATTTTTTGTATTTTTGTAGAGATGGGGTTTCACCATGTTGGCCAGGCTGGTCTCAAACTCCTGACCTCCTGACCTCAGGTGCAGGTGATCCACCCACCTCGACCTCCCAAAGTGTTGGGATTACAGGTGTGAGCCACCGCACCTGGCCAGTTCTGGGATTCTGAATGGAACACCCATTGTCTGAAAATTTTCCATTATGAAGAGCAGTGCCTTGCTTTAGTTGTCAATTCCTCCTGTCTGCTGGCTGCCACCATGAGCGGCTATGTTTTTATCGTATGTTCACAATGACAACTGTGAGGACACAAAAAATATGAAGTCAAAAGCCAAGTCACCCAAATACTGGCTGCTTTATAAAAACTTATTAATTATATAAAATTTTATTAGTGATAAAAGTTATCAAGACACTGTGCAAAGAGTTTTACAAACATTATTAAATCCTTCGGCCAACTTGATTGTATCATTATCTCCATTTTACAGATAACAAAGTGAAGGTCAGAGAGCTAAGTCACTTGCCCAAGGTCAAGTAAACACTGCTACCAGAAACCTACACTGGGGTTGTAGGATGAAGACCTCCTACAAAGGGAATGTAGGAAGTAAGGGAAAGCACAGACAAGGGACTCTCAGCTCTAACCTATTCATCAGACGCTTACCAAATACAGTACTTTATTTGGTCCCTTTCCTTGACATATACCTGAACTAGGAGACATCTCCAAAATATCTGGAAGAGGTCATCAGTCTTCTACAAGCCAGGAAAGGAGAGACCAAATAGGACATATATAGAATGAGGGCAATTTCCTGGAAAGCTTAGGAAAATGGGTCATCCTCTCTGTGTACAGTCCAAGAAGTTCAAATTAATTGACATTAAGTTATGAACCCTAAGACCGAGACCCTTTCAATGGCTCTGCTTATTCCAGACTTCATTAAAATATAGTTTCCAAAGCATTTTTCTTTTTTTTTTTTTTTGAGACAGAGTCTCGCTCTGTTGCCCAGGCTGGAGTATGGTGGCGCAATCTCAGCTCACTGCAACCTCCACCTCCCAGGTTCAAGTGATTCTCATGCCTCAGCCTCCCAAGTAGCTGGGATTACCAGCACATGCCACTACGCCCAGCTAATTTTTGTATTTTTGGTAGAAATAGGGTTTTGCCATGTTGGCCAGGCTGGTCTCAAACTCCTGGCCTCCAGTGATCCACCTACCTTGGCCTCCCAAAGTGCTGGGATTATGGGCATGAGCCACCGTGCTCAGCTCTTTCAATTCATTTTATACCAACTTTCCCTTTCTACATCTTTTCCAGTGTGTAAAATAGGAGCCAGTATCTCCAACAAATTCTTTGGTAGACATTCTGTACATTCTAGTAGATGGGTAGGAAGTTAGTAAAGAGAACCGTTACACTCATATATGCAGATTCATTTATACTCATTTTTTTTATTTATAAGAAAAGCATATTTATAGATCAGTTTTTGTTGTTGTTTTGGTTTTTTTGTAGAGTTGCGTCTCAGTATGTTGACCAGGTTGGTCCTGATTTCCTGCCTCAAGCCTCGGTCTCCCAAAGTGCTGAGATTATAGGCATGAGCCATTGTGCCCAGCCATATACTCAATTTTTAAGGACCAAAATAATGCCACAAAAGGGAAAAATAAAATGCTATCCACGTAATTTTCCACAGCCTCCTGACTAGTCTCTCTGCCTCCAGTACTGTTTGTCTCCTTCAATCCATTTTTCACAATGAAATCAGAGCAAATTTTTTTTTGGAGACAGAGTCTTGCTCTGTCACCCAGGCTGGAGTGCAGTGGTGCCATCTCAGCTCACTGCAACCTCTGCCTTCTGGGTTCAAGCGATTCTCCCACCTCAGCCTCCCAAGTAGCTAGGATTATAGACATGCACCACCACACCCAGCTAATTTTTGTATTTTTAGTAGAGACAGGGTTTCAACATGTTGGCCAGGCTGGTCTCGAACTCCTGACCTCAAGCGATCTGCCCACCTCAGCTTCCCAAAGTGCTGGGATTACAGGCGTGAGCCACCACGCTGGCCTGCCAACTTTCTAAAACACAAATCTAACATCAGTATACTGCTTAAAACCCTTTAGTGGCTTCTTACTGTTCTTAAATCTGATCCAGAGGTCAGCAAACTATGTTCCATGGGCCAAATCTAGCTGCCACCTTTATTTATTTTATAAATAAAGTTTTACAGGAATACATCCATGCTCTTCCTTTTCATACTGTCTGTGGCTACTTTCATGCATAACTGCAGAGTTTAGTAGAGTTGAGAAGTTGTGACAGAGACCCAAAGCCTAAATATTTACTATCTTATCCTTTACAGAAAAAGTTTGCAGAGCCCTAATCTTTTTTCTACTCCCTGATCTAATCCTAAGAGTTTATAAGCTAAGGCTCTGGCCTCTGCTTACCTCCTGCTTCATCTCTCCCCATATTCTCCTGTCCCCTGCCAACTAAGTACTCTGTTTCAGCCACACTGAACTTTCTCATATTCAACAAAGCTCTGACAATTGGTCCCTCATGTCTTCATCTTATTTTTTTCTTTTTCTTTTTTTAAATTTTCAGCATTCTTTGAGGGTTTGTTTAATTCTATGTGAGGAGGTTTACTTCCTCTGAGAGGCCTTCCCTGAGTCTACAACTCTGGGTCAGAGACCCCTCTGAGTATTTCCAAAGCCTCTACACTTCCCTTACTATAGCACTCTCAGATCATATCATAACTGCCTTTTTACTATCAGTCTCTCCCATGAATTTGTAAGCTCTATGGTGTCAGGGAAGGTGGCTTCCTTGTTCACCACTATAATCCCAGGAACTAGCACAGTGCCTGGCCCTTAGCTATTGAACAAACAAGCTCAAGTCCCTGGATATCAATCATCCAGAGTATGCCTCTTTAGCTGGTCCCTGATCCTTGTAAAACAGACAGGTTGGAACTAACCATCCACCAAAAGGCGACATGCAACCTAAATTAAACCAAGATCCCAAAGGCCTTGGTCAAATACATTAGCAAAAGCCAAATGAGAGCCAGGCGTAGTGGCACATGCCTGTAGCTCCAGCTACTTGTGGGGAGGAGGATCACTTGAACCCAGGAGTTCGAGCCCAGCATGGGCAACCTAGCAAGAGTCTGTCTCTTAAATAAATAAATAAATGTTTAAAGTCAAATGAAGATGTTTCTTCCTATTTTCTTAAGATGTGTATTTCTGGCCGGGCGCAGTGGCTCAAGCCTGTAATCCCAGCACTTTGGGAGGCCGAGGTGGGTGGATCACGAGGTCAGGAGGTCGAGACCATCCTGGCTAACATGGTGAAACCAAATTAGCCGGGCGTGGTGGCAAGCACCTGTAGTCCCAGCTTCTCGGGAGGCTGAGGCAGGAGAATAGCGTGGACCCGGGAGGCGGAGCTTGTAGTGAGCCGAGAGCGTGCCACTGTACTCCAGCCTGGGCGACAGAGTGAGACTCTGCCTCAAAAAAAAAAAAAAAAAAAGATGTGTATTTCTCAGGATAATGGGTTATTCTGGTTCTATTCAGAATAGAACCTAAAGTAGGTGCTCATGAGATGCCCATTAAGCAATTGTGACAGAATTTGAGAGTCTGGATCTCCCACCTCCAACTCTTACCACTTTAGAAACTTTAAGTAAGTTTCCACAGACTTTGAACATATGTTACCTTATCAGAAGAAGCTACAAAAAAATACAATTTGTTTAGACTTTGGGGACACGTGGGGCAAAAAAAATACAATCTGCATCAATCCCCACCCCCTACCCTCCAAGCCCAAATACTCAGAAGGAAATAAAGCCAAACTTGACCATGCAACAGGATTCTCACCTCTCCTTACTTCGAAGATGCCAAGACTGGCAGCTGGGGATGCTGAAGGTTCTGTGAGAGCTGGAAAGCCCCAATGCTGTGGATAAACACACATCTCTGCAACAAGTCTATTTCAATACCAAGGATCAAATCCCCATGAAGGATACTACACCTCAAACTCTAAACTCAAACTTGGAGATAACTGCCATCTATGTGGAAAGACAGTGCCCCCACGGAGCTTTCAGAAACTATTAGTACTATATTTGTAATGATTTTCATGTTCTCTAGTCATATACTTTTCCTCCTATGGAGGCTCACCTCCTAGAAACACTGAACATTTACCGAGAAAGATAGCCATGAAGTGGTGCCTCTTTGGGTAATTTCAGAATCCTAGTCTAGTCAAGGAGGAAGACACTGGTAAGGCTGACAATATTCAGAACTAAGGAACTAAGGCTGGGCCAGGATTGGGGGAGGGGCTGGTTGCCACAAATCCACAAGTCATACTGCAAATGGCCACATAGACTAGGAAACACTTTCGGGATACTTCCAAGCCTGCTTCAAACTCTAAGAAAGTCAAGGTAACTAAATCCCAAGTCAAAACATCAATAGATACCTATCATCCTTTTCAACTAATTCATATCCTCCAAAGGACCAGAAGTTGCAGAGATGCCCCTGTTAGTGATGTCTTTTGCATAAACACCTAGGGTTGGAACTAATATATTCCTGTCTACCATTCCACACATTTAAGACTTTCTTCTACTCAGATCCGCTGGGAAAAGGCCACTCACGGATTTACCCCACCACAAAGAAAACACTTTTCAAAATGAAAGGGAATAAAAGCACTTTTATTTGGAAATTTCAAGTTGGAAGAAGAGCTCTTAGCCAAGCTCTATGACCTAGCTAGCTGATTATTTACAGGATCTTTGGGCAGGAATTGTTAATGAGCTTTTAATTTGGAGTGCTTAAGTTGCCAAAGTGCTCTGAGCTCCAGTGAAGCACCACAGAATCCATAAAGGAAACCTTATCAATCACTTCCCGGCAGCTCCCTCCCCCCAACCCCCTCCTCCTGAGGAAAAGGCAGCCAAGTGGGTTTCTAACCAGGATCACAGACACACATTAGTGGAGTCACACTTCAAGTCCCTGTTTATAAATTGGCTTTTAAATAGTAAGAGATCCAGGTATAATAAACTTAAGTTCCAAGCAAGAACCCACTAAAACAGGGCAGGCTGTATATGATAAAGTCAGAATAAAGCAGAATTTGATGAAGCCAATTTCTGGAAGAAACTCTACAATCAAAACTCATTTAGCCACTCACAACCTACTATAGTTTGAATAGCGTACAGTCTTTTAGCCAATAGGATTCATGTTTTGCTGCCCTTCCCCTGGGAAACTGACGAAATGTCTGACAAGAGTAAATGCTATTGAAGTGGCCAGAGACCTCAAGCAGACGCAACGCTGGGCACTATTCGTTGCAAAATCCAGCTCTAAGGACAAAATCCAAACCCCCATCGGGGGCCCCACATGCAGCATCTTCCAAGTCAACAATGAGCAGTTAAATTTTACAAGAACTCACAGTCAAGCCTCAATCCAAATTCATGCTTTTTTTTAAAGAAAACACCTGTTGCTGGACCATTTGCAAGACAGGCACACAGAAAGATAGCCAGGTTAGGCCCCTTATTCACTCCTTCCACCATCACCACTACCACCGCTTCAGATTTACAAAGAGGTAAACTGCTAACCTGGTGTGTGTGCATGTGTTGGGGAGGGGGTCAAGGGAATGTTCTAACTACAATCTCCTTGCTCCACTTCTAGCCACTCTGGTCAAACCTCTTTTTCTTTTCTAGTAATCCCAGTAAGTCAACCCCCTTAATAAACTCACCTATCCTGTCTTGCAAAGCTCTGCCCCTCTCCCCCTCCGCCAGAACGTTACTCAGTAGATTAAGCATCCAGGGTTAGCACATGGGCCAGCACCCCAGGTTGCACAAATTCTGCGCACCGCGACCCTCGGCCCGCATGCATTAACCAGGGCCCAATCTTTGAGGGGGGCATTCAGCATCACCCACCCCGGGGTGTTGCCCCCAACTTGGGCCCATCCAAGTCCAGGGGAGAGTAAGGGGAGGGGCGGGGGGCCAGGAGACCAGCCCTCCTTCCCAGGGCCGCCCCCGTCCCCCGTCAGCAGCGGGAGAGGCTGTCGCCATGGCAACGCCCCCTCCTCGGGGCCAGCGCGGCAGGCTCCCTCCAGGTGCAGGCCCCGACGTCTCCCTCGGCCTCAGCAGGCGCTCAGGGCAGTTGGCGGCGGCGGGCGCAGCCCGCGCCGACTGCGGCGCCGGCCAGGCAGAGGCAAGGCCAGCTCCGCCCGCTCCCCACCGCCCGTTCCCGGCCGCCTGAACAGCGGCAGCCAGCACCACGAGTCCACAACACACCGACTCACCTCCGCGCACTCTGACCCCGACCGACGCAACGGACGGGCGGGCGCTGTGGCCAACCGCTGAGCCCGCTGCCGGTCCCTTTGACCAATGGGCTGCAGTCGGGCGGGGCTTCTTCTCCCCAAATGCTTACTCTCCCGCCGACATGCGCGCTAAGGTATGTCAAGATGGTAACTCCCGGCGGCCGGGATTATGGGACTTGTAGTTTTGACGTTGCACGAACTCAGAAGAGAAGGCGGGGGCGGGGACATCACTTCTGATCTGTGAAAGCAATTTTTTTAAAACGAAACTTTCTAAGGCCTACAGCGACCCAGGTCCCCCATCTCCGTTTTCCCGCCCTCCAGTATACCCGCAAGGTAAATGTGGGCTCACAACGTGACAGATTATATTTACATGACTCTTCATGATTCGTTCATTCAACAAGTAATTATTGTCATGTACTCTGTGATGTGGGCCTGGGGGAGACCTGAGACAAAGAGGGGTTAAGCTAAGAGGAAAATGCTTAGATTTGTGAAGGGCCGTCCTAAGGAAGAGGGAACTGGCTTGTTCAGGTCCACTCAGAGGAAACTTCTGTTTAAAAGGTTTCTGGCCTCAGCTGTGAGGAACTTCCCCAGTCAGTCTCTCCAGTAAGCTGGAGAGACCTGTGTTTCTTCATCCTGGTTATGCCTTTCTGGGTAGTCATGAGTCCCAGGATATGAGCTGGGAAACCTCACCCTTAGCCAAGCCAATAATGGCTTTGACAGCTTCACAATCGGTCAGGACCCCATCTTCTGGGCCCAGCTTCAGTTACCAAGCCCCTCTGTGTGTTGTCTGCATATTTACACTTAGGATGATGTCATTTCTGGGCCCTACCACCTCTGAGATCGGACTTTAACGTAACGGTTTCCACCTGAGCTGGGAGTGCCTGGTAATCCCCCTATCAGGGAATGCCATCATCTATCCCACCCACATAACAGGTTAGGTGACTCTACTGTGCACCTACAGCATTTATCATATTGTTTTATAATTGTCTGTTTCCTTGTTGTCGCTCCCACAGGGTTTTAAGTCCTTCAGGAAAAGCATTTTTTTTCCATATTGTTCATGTATGTTCCATTTTTTCCATTATTGTTCAGTAATACACAGCATAGTGCAGGCGTAAAGAAGGCCTGCAGTAAATGTCTGTGAACAAATGAGGGAATATACAGCATCGGGGACAGGCTTATCCCGAAGTCAGTAAGTGGAGGTACTATCCTCCAATTCTTGGAGCTGGAACAGATTCTCCTATTATTACCTAGACATTAACCCCAGTTGGTCAGTCAGTCCACCTGTATTTATAGTGCCTCTCTTAAGTGTCAGGCACTATTTCTGTTGCTGAGGATTCATTGATTAATAACGACACACCTGTATTCTCAAGGAGCTTTTAAACTAGAGAGGGAAGCTGGGTGCCGTGGCTCATGTCTGTAATTCTAAACACTTTGGGAGGCTGAGACAGGAGGATCCTTTGAGACCAGGAGTTCAAGACCAGCTTGGGCAACATAATGAGATTTTCATCTCTACAAAAAATTTAAAAATTAGCCCGGCATGGTGGCACGTGCTTGTAGTCCCAGATACTCAGGAGGCTGAGGTGGGAGGATCACTGGAGCCTGGGAGGACAAGGCTGCAGAAAGCCATAAAAAATAAATTGGAGAGGGGCTGTAGGAGGAAGGATAGATAATAAAACAAGCAAATACAAAAATAAGACAAGAGGCAGTGAGATAGCTTTGTTATATACTGAGTTATGGCCTAAGAGTAGGCACAGCCAATCTTCTTGGCTGTAAGAATGAAGTAAATCTATACTATCTGGATTCAAGGCTTTATTTAATGCCCAGCCCCAACATCCTCTGTGAAGCCTTCAATGGTCCCCTTGACTTCCCCAGAATGTGTCCTTTCCTCCTTGGTGCACCAGGGCTCAACTGTACAGCTTCCAGGACTTCACCACACTGTAAGCTCTTTTTGTACAAAGACCAGGCAAATTGATTCAAATAATAGAACAGTTTGACAGCTCAGTATACACTTGGTACCTTACACTGCCGCCTAGCACAGCACTTGGATTTCTCAAGCCGTGGCTCTCTTGTGTGCTGTCTGGTTCCCTAGAAAACAGAGCCTGAGCCAGGTACAGTGGCTCATGCTTGAAATCCCAACACTTTAGCAGGACAAGGTGGAAGGATTGCTTGAGCCCAGGGGTTCATGACCAGACTGGTCAACATAGCAAGATCCCATCTCTATAAAAGGAAAAAGAAAAAAAAAGGAAACGGAGCCTGAGGCAAAACTTATGTGTTCAAATTTAATTGGGGAGTACAATCCCAAGGCATCAAGAGTGAGGGGAGCCGGGTAAGGTGATACATGTAGTAGTCCCAGCTACTCAGGAGGCAGGAGACTGAGGCAGGAGGATCGTTTGAAGTCAGGAGTTCAAGGTTAGCCTGGGCAACATGGCAAGACTCTGTGTCTTAAATAAACAAATAAATAAAAGAGTAGGGGAAAGGGGGAAGTGAAGCAGGGAAGGAGGGAAAGAAAGTACCAGATAGTGTCTTACTGAGAAGTTGGCCAGTTCCTCAAAGAAAATACAACTCGTTGCTCTGTCGTACAAGGTGTGTAGAACCATCCTGTGTGACAGGGAGAAGGAAGGGTTGTGTTACCCCACCAATGCAGTAGCCCCAGGGGGTGCCAGATTCCACACCCTGAAATATAGTCATTCATTTGAGACTAGAAATGGTGAGAGGAATCAAAGCCTCTGGTTGGGTCAGATCAGGTCCAACTGCAGTCCCGCCACAGTGGGCACATTGGAGGCTGTGTCCAAACCTAACCCTCATCCCAAGGGAAACGAAGATAACCAGAGGTGTTAGTAAATGAGGTGGGAGTGGCAGGTGGGTTGTCCAGTGAACAAGTGGCCAATGGCCAGAGTCAAGGGTGCACACAAGGCAAGGGCAAGTGAATTTGGGGAGGCAGATGAACTGAGTCCAGTACACAGACACACAGACATCCTGGCTGCTGGATTAAGCGACTGAGCTAAAGTGAACACTGAGAGCAAGAACACAAGACAGGACCAAGTTAAGTCTTCTTTTTTTTTTTTTTGAGATGGAGTTTCACTCTTGTTGCCCAGGCTGGAGTGCAATGGCGCGATTTCAACTCACTGCAACCTCCACCTCCCGGGTTCAAGCGATTCTTCTCCATCAGCCTCCCGAGTAGCTGGGATTACAGGCATGCACCACCAGGCCTATCTAATTTTTGTATTTTTAGTAGAGACAGGACTTCTGTATGTTGGTCCAGTTGGTCTCGAACTCCCTACCTCAGGTGATTCGCCCGCCTCGGCCTCCCAAAGTGTTGGGATTACAGGCATGAGCCACCGCGCCCGGTCAGTTAGGTCTTCTTATAGCCTGTCAAACCACCAGGAAAAGCAGCAAGGTGGCCATCAAAGCTAGGACCTTAACCAGCGGTCAAAGCACAGAGAATGCAGGACCCAAGGATAATGCATGGCAGCCCCCAAACCTTGGCACAGCTGAGAGAACCCAGACTGGGTCTGAAACCATTTTATGCGGCAACTGGAAGAACTGCTGCTGCCATCGTAGTCCCTGTAAGCTATATAAGACAGCATAGAAGGGTGGACTCAGAGAGAACCTGTTCAGGTTTGAGTCCTGGCTCCATCTGTGACCTTCGGCAAGTCACATACCTCTCTGAAGTTCAGTTTCTTCATCTCTAGAATGTAGATAATACTCGTATCTACCTGTTATTGGAATTAAATACGCAACTGCTTAGCACTACCTAGAATAAAGAGTTCAGTAAACAGTGGCTATTACTACTATTCTCACCCTTCCCTACCCCTTTCTCCTACCCCTCTTCCCATCATGACCACCACCACCCCACCTCCTCTTCTCCCCAACCCAACCCCCCAGCAGTCTTCTGCCGCTCTGGGAGGAGTCAGGGCTGGATCTGGCCATGCCGCTTTCTTCCTGCTTTTCCCCAGAGCTGTTCCCCAAGAGCCTGAGCCATTCATCTCCCTGGTGACCTGAATCTGAACTGAGAGATGGATGTGGGGTGGCTGAGGCCAGGGTGGTAATGTGCTCCCTTATCTCCGTGCCCCTCACTAGGGCCTAGTTAATTTTCCCTTTGATTTTAATATAGATTTATTGAAAGTTTCAGTTATCAAAACAAACTGCAGCAGCAAATTGGTGTTCTTTGCAGGCCTACAAGTGCCTATAAAGCTGCCATGCTCGGGAACGAATGGCGCTCTCCGGGAGGTCAGTCATGGCAACAGGAAGTCCCTGGGGACACACACACTGCAGTTTAATATTTTTCTTATTAGCCTTTTTCTTCTTGGCTATCTAAGCCTCCCCTTTAAATCGGAAATCAAATGAAGCCACCTGCCCAGGGAGGTTCTCTTCCTTAGGCTGCGCCACTCTCTGCCTACTCTCTGTCCCCTCTCTAGTCCCAGTGTCCTTACCTCAAATCCTGTGACTCCACCCTGATTTGCCCCCGGGCCCAGAGAGAGTCATGATTCACATACTCCAGAGGTGTGGCTCACAAATGTCATGAATCCCACAGCTTCGTCCCAACTGTACAAAATCTGCTTGGGCTATCCAGCCTCTAGTCAGAGGCAAAGCAGCCCTAGAAAAGA